CGTCCCCAGATTACGGCCATGCAGAGATCTGCCACAAACCTCAGGATGATATTAACCAATACGTCGCCTCTTCTGTATTTACACATAATCGATCATATTTTAAAATCACTGGCTTCACTGTTGCCTGATTTAGAAATTTCTATTTCTATGCCACCTATTTCTTTTTTTCTTTTCTTTTTGTGGGTTTGGTTTCCATCCTGGTTCCCTTTCTACAAAATATGTATCATCTGGTCGGTTTTTATTCTGCTTTGTAGATTGGTCTTGTTGGTTTTGCTTTTGTATCTCATATTTCTTTTTTATCCCTTGTATATCCCCTAATTGGTTTCCATGTTTATCCTTGCCTTGATAAGTCATCACATTAAGATTAGATGCCTCTTCTCTCAAATTTGTAGATAGTCCAGCTGGGGTATCCAATAAATCCAAAGGCAATTCATCTGGTACAGTCTCTGTAATTCGAAATTTTACCTTTATTTCCGGCTCCTTCTGCTTATTCTGTATTATACCTGGAGATGTTAAATTCATTTTCAACCTATTTTGATAAAATTCTTCTGCTCTTTCAACAGTATTTAGCTGATATCTTTCTCCTTGGTATCTAAATATAATACCAACTGGGGCGTCCCACCTGTAGGAGATATTTCTCTTTTTTAACTCATTCACCAGAAAACCAAATTTCTTCCTTTCCATCAATATCTTAGGTGGGAGTTCCTTATAAATCCAAATCTTTCTTCCATACAATTGCAAATTAGAATTAAAGGAATTTTGAACGATATTATTCCTAATTTCCTTATCTGTAAAATAAATCACCACATCTCTAGGCAATTGCCTTTGCTTAGCAATCCAGGAGTTGATTCGATAAGCTCTGTCGATCCTACAAAACACTTCGTCAGGTTGAACCTTTAGAATCCCAGCTAGAAATTCAGAAGATATTTTCCTTAAATCCTCTCTATTATTTTCCTGCAAACCTCTTAATCTTATCGCATATTCTGTGAAATTATATTGTACCATTAAAATCTCTTTTTCAATCTTCTGTTGCAGATTTTCTACATTACCATACTTTTGATCAGCATCCATTTTAGATTTTTCTTCTAAGCTATTATCCTGAGTGTTTGTCAAATCATTTTCAATTTTTTGAATTCTATTGTCCAATTTATCTTGAATTTCTTCCATTTTAGACTCTAGTACATTAGTATTTGTGTCCAACTGCATCATAAATCCTGTAAAACCATTAACCACTTTTGAGAGTTTTTTCTCCAAAAAATCAAACTTAGATTTCACCAATTCTTTAATTTCCTGCTTAAATTTTTCAAATTGCTGATTCACAATCTCCTCCCTTCTTTCAATCTCCTCTATAAAAAATTCTATTATATTAAAATCAGGTTTCTGAGACTGAAGAATTAAGACTTGTTCCTTTAAGTTGTTGGTGGGGGGATCCCCCCCTTCTTGTTTATCTGACTTTATGAGTCTCAGTGCCATGTTTCCGCCCAGGCAGGCTTTGTTAAAAAAAAGCAAGAAAAAAAAAAAGGACTTCTTTCCAATCAACAACAATATCAGGTCTCCAAGGGAAAAAAAAAAGAGAGAAAGACACAGGAGCAAAGTTTTGTCTACAAATGTAGCCAGTGGTATTTATTCCGCTACATTGTAGTAATAGAAAACGGAAGCCTCTCCTCCAGCCAACGCCATTTTAAAAGGCTTTTTTTTTTCCTCCTTCCTCTCCTCCTCTCTCTTAAGTAATTTCTTTTTTAAAAAATCAGTAAAATACTTGCGGTTCAATATTACAGGTCCAGCTCACATTTTCTTTGAGTAGTCTGTTAAATTTGCAGGCTTGCTTTTGACGCCTGGCTCTGCATCAGCAGAGGTCTCCCAAAGCCCGGAGCGGCGGCTGGGGATACGGGGCATCTCATCCGCTCCGTCCCAAAAGTAAAAAAAAAACTTTTGGGACTCCGCAGAGAGTTCTACCCACCCCTGCCGGCTCTATCTCCGTTTCCTCATGGAAACGGAGTTTTTTCGAGCCGCCGTTCCGTTGTGAAGGCGGCTCTGACAGGCAGTGGAAGCTGACGATCCCAAAGGAACGTCTGGCAGCAACAAACAGCAAACCGGAAGCAATAGAATTTCTTCTTGAGGAGATTGTAAGAAGGGATGAGATTGTGAATCAGCAACTTGAAAAATTTAAGTTGGAAATCAAAGAAATTGGTGAATTGGTGAAATCTAAGTTTGGCTTTTTGGATCGAAAGATTTTAAAAGTAGCTAATGGCTTAGCAGACTTTATGACTCAGTTGGAAGCAAATACTAACTCTAAAATGAAAGAAACTGAGGAGAATTTGGATGACAAGATCCAAAAAATTAAAAAGGATTTGGCAAACATTCAGGATAATAGTTCAGAAGACAAACTTAAAATGGAGGCTGATCAAAAGACTGTTAATGAAGAAAATGTACAACAGAGGATTGAAAGAGAAGTTTTAATGATCCAATACAATTTTACAGAATATGCAATTAGACTGAGAGGTTTGCAGGAAGATGACAGAGATTTAAGGAAGATATCTTCTGAAATTCTGGCTGGGATTTTAAAGGTTCAACCTGATGAAGTGTTTTGCAGGATTGACAGAATTTATAGAATAAACTCCTGGTTGGCAAAACAAAGGCAATTGCCTAGAGATGTGGTGATTTATTTTACAGACAAAGAAATTAGAAATAATATTGTCCAGAATTCTTATGATTCTGCTTTGCAATTTCGTGGAAGGAAGATCTGGATTTTTAAGGAACTCCCGCCCAAGATGTTAATGGAGAGGAAGAAATTTGGTTTTCTAGTGAATGAGTTAAAAAAAAGGAATATTCTATTTAGGTGGGACGTCCCAGTTGGTTTAATATTGAGACACCAAGGAGTAAGATACCAACTGAATACTGTCGAAAAAGCGGAAGAATTTTATCAAAAAATTTTAAAAATAAATCTAACATCTTTAGGCATAACACAGAACAAGCAAAAGGAGTTGGAAATAAAGGGAAAACATCAAATTACAGAGGCTGTGGTAGATAAACTGTCTTTGGACTCCTTGGATACCCCAGCTGGACTGTCTATAAATTTGAGAGCAGTGTCATCTGATTCTAATGTGATGAACTATCAACTTACAGACAAGTGCGTAAATCACCCAGTTGATATACAAGTGATGGAAAAGACATATGAGATAATAAAACAAAACCAACAAGATCAATTTACAAAGCAGAATGACAACCGATCAGCTGATACACAACTTGTAGGAAGGAAATCTGGATGGAAATGCAACCCGCAAAAGAAAAAGAAAAGAAACAGATCTCGTAGAAATAGTAGTTTCTAAACCAAGCAACAGTGAAGCCAGGGATTTAAAAAAAAAAAAAATGAATATGTGAAAAGATATTGGAGGCGAATTATCGTTTAATACTATCTTGAGGAAAGTGGCAGATCTCTGCAATGCCGTGATTTTGGGATGTGGAAAGAGCCTTACATTGTTGGATTTGAACTATCTATTTTGGATTTCTTTTACCGATAAATATATTATATCTATTTTGAGTTACAAGGCAAGAGAGTCATGCTGGGGCATGCAGAAGATCTGGCTGTTACCCACTAAGATGATGGGGATTTATAATCCTGATGAAAACCACAATTACAACTATATGGAATATAATTATAATGTCACTCGGGTGGTTGTTTTTACTTTTATATATACATGAGGATATTCATTATTGATGGGGGCAGAAGATGACTGAAGATTTTGAATAAACTGTTGCACCAGGATGCTATGTTACCCTATTATGGATGACGGATTTAACAATCTAGTGGAAAGACATCAAAGAAGATACTAAATGAATTATAAATTTAAAGTTATTGTCTTTTCTCTTTTTATAAAATGGAATGTATATATAGACATATGTATATTTCAGCAGAGTGGGCAGTGGATTATATTTAGAATTGTAGTGCATGGTAATCTTGCAGGAAACTGGGTTGAAATAGGCTAGTTTAGTGATTGATTAGTTTAAGAAAAAGGATTTTTAAGTCATATATTTTGGGGAGTGGAAGAATTGGATAGAACTGAATAAATTTGGAGAAGGCTGCTTTGAAATGTTAAATTAATATATATAAAAGTAAAAGTTATGTTGTTGTAATAATAATAATATTTTATAAGTTTGGGGGAGGAGAAAAAGGGTAGATTGTGAAAAGCGGAGAAAAGCGGAGTTATAAGAATACTATGCTAAGGGTCAGTACTTTGAGGAGTGAGTAAGGGCATGGTAAAATATTATGTAATTAATTATGAATTAGCTTATTGTTGTGAAGAAGAAGTCACAGGGGGGGATGGGTGGTGAGGGCGGGTTGGGGAAGAAGGGAGGAAAAGGGGGAAAAACTTGTATTTGAAAAACTTTTTCAATAAAAAAAAAAATCTAAATATAATTCTTAAAAGAACGCTTACTGTACCCTGACAAAAACTTCTTTATCACCTAATTTAGGATGTGCTAACAAGATCATTACCTAGTCCATCCTGCAGTTAACTTTATGCGGCTTTGGTGATTTTTATTGAATTTTAATGGATTAGGACCTATCCTAATAGATAATACTATCCATAGATCACATAAATATTTAAAATAAGTAAATTAAGTGAACAAAGGACAAACTGGAGGATAAGCCCACATCCAAACTGTACCTGCTATCTCCTGCATTCTGTAACCATTCTTCAAAATGAGATTCTTCTTTTTTGAGCTTACCTCGAATGGAAAGTTCCTTTTCCCATTTTGCTCACATGACAATTAGCATCTAAAACCACAGCTGCACATAACCTCAATGTAGTCTAACAATAACAGAACTTGGTCTTATATTAAACATGACCAAATATCAATGTATAATTTGCACTAAATAGAATATTGCACTATTTGAAATCGCATTAAGCGCAAACGACCTATTTAAGTTTGGGGGTTATTATTTAAACTTGTACTTTAAATAACAAAAACTGAATGGTGTTTTCCTATTTTCTTTCTAGTTTTGAACATCGGCGAGGGTGGATTCTGGGAAGGCAGTACTCGTGGACATGTTGGATGGTTTCCTGCAGAATGCGTTGAGGAAGTGCAATATAAGCCAAATGAAAGTAAACCAGGTGAGATGGTGCAATTCAAGAGTAAGCTATGCCTACAGTTTTTCATGGGGAAGTACATGAGTGTTTGCTGAACTAGAAATTACTCTAAAAAAAAGAGTAACTATAGATTTATGTTATGATGCAGATATTTCTTTAGAAGTATGTGAAATCAGTAAAAAACTTAAATGCATGTACAGTTTGATTCTTCACTTAAAAATAATTATGAATGATTTTTTTAAAAAAATATTCATTTTTCTTTGAATATGCATTTAAATCTGTGATGAGCAATGAGGTGACCTCCAAATGCTTTGGGTAATTTCTAGAATTCCTTGGCCAAGATATATGGATGGCATCAGTCTGCCAAATTCTTGCTTATGCATTTAATGTCTACTTTAGTCTCATCTCATTTTAATCAGACAAGATTAATCTCACATTTAAGAATCTTCACTTTCATTATATTCATTTATTTAAGATGAGACTGAACCAACGAATAAGTTGAGGACTATTGCTAAATTCCCAGTTCAGATATGGACTGAGGCGAAACAATCGGTACAACACTATTTTATTCACAAACCGCAGAACTGAACGAACAACAACAAAACCCTGACAGCGTTTATATATGCCGGCTGTCAAACCCAACCACCAATCAACTGACACCTTTTCTCCCGCCCTTGTGGCTGCTTCTGCGTCAGCCAATCAGAGAACGGCACCTCTGTTGTTAGGCAACGTGCCAAACACAACAACTATCTATGCAAGGTGCAGCTATTCCCCCCCCAAAAAAATATTCTAAAGCTTTAAATAATAATCAGAGTTCCTTTTCCTTGGCTGAAACAGCTTTCTTTCTTTCTTTCTTTCTTTCTTTCTTTCTTTCTTTCTTTCTTTCTTTGTTTATTTATTTATTTATTTATTTATTGGTTCGATTTATATGCCGTCCTTCTCGGAGACTCAGGGCGGCTTACAATGCGTTAAGCAATAGCCTTCATACTTTTGTATACCTGCTTAGTAGGGCTTTCGTGCCCCCCCCCCAAGTGGTGTTCTTTTTTATACAAAGTCAGCTTATTGCCCCCACAAACCAGGTCCTCATTTTACCTACCTCGAAAGGGGAAGGCTGAGTCAACCTTGAACCTGGTGAGATTTGAACTTGCAGTAATTGCAGGCAGCTGGTGTTACTTAACAGCACTTTAGTCTGCTGCGCCACCAAGGCTCTTGCCTTGGTGCATATAGAGAGCCTTGCACTCTATATGCACTCTAAGGCCAGTTTAGGTACAGCAACAAATACCCCTTTTATATTTGCAAATCTATAGTAACATTCCTGTATCTTATGCAACTAGAATTCCCAAAATGCAGAAAAGCTTTTACTTTAGGCATGTTGTTATTCTCTCCCTTTGCTATTTTTTTCAGAGAAACTGTAGGAAGTTTGTATATTTTAAATGACCATGTTCTTTAATGTTCATTTGGTAGAGACATTCAAAGTGCTCTTATTTCTTCAGTACTGTACTTGGGAGATTTCCAGGTTGCATAGTTGAATCCCCTGTCTATTTATTACTTTTGGAATATAATTTGTTCACCACATATGAAGTCATCTTATTAAAAGTTGCAGTATGAAAAATCCACCAAGAATTGATTACTAGCAAGAACCAGTAGAAGAGAGGACCTCTATTTTTCAATACTTGTTTTATTGTTGGTTTTGTTACTTTCTTATATTGTTTTTTTTTAGGTTAGTGTATTTTTAATTTCATAGTTTTTATTGTTTTAGTATTGAAACTTATGAGACTGCCTATATATACATACTTCAGTGTTTTATACTGTCCTAGCATTATGTTATTAATGTTTACTTTTAGGTGTGTTATCTAAATATTCACAACACATATTTTATATCTCATCGATTTGATTATTAATATTATTGGAAGGGCCAGAATTCTCACTGTGTTTATGTTCATTGGTGTTGGTCTATGATTGAAATAAAGATTTGATTTGACTTATTATAATGCTAGCACTAAGTGTCCTAGTTGGGCAGAATGATGGGTACAAACAAAGTAAATAAATAAGATAAAATACCCTATAATGGAAGATAAGATTTTTATTATGCAGTAACCATGATTTCACAGGTGGCAGTATTCATAATCTTTGTTCTTCTATTTATCTGTTAAGGAGAGAAAGACCTTTGGCATAGCTGCCAAAATTTCTTTTGATTGATCATGCTGAGAACCGTCTGTCTGGAAACACTCTCAAGATATATTCCGTTCCTAATTAAGATATTAAAGTTATGCTTTGACAAGTTACTAAAATTTAGCTGTGGTCCTGATCCGAACTAAGTATAGGTGTCTTCATTAGTATTATTGTACCCCTGGCATTGAGGCAGCATTAATTATGCCTTGAAATATTGAAATCTTGCTAGGTAAGGGAAACAGGCTATATAATAATGAAGTACCAACAGTAATGGCACAATGAATTCCTTTGGATTCATCAAGATAGTTTTGTGTAGCAATCTGAAGTCTACCTCAATTGCTTTTTAAGGCCAGTTGAAAAGAAACCTGTTAGACCAGGAGAATGTAATGCAATAGAAGTGAAGCACTCTTAGTAAGTTCAACTATCATCAATACATGCCAGCTATCAATCATCTGAATTTTGATCACATGATTGTGAGGATGCTTTAATTGCCATAAGTGTGGAAACCAATCATGTCTCTTTTTTCAGTGCCACTGTAACTTTAGTCGCTAAGCAAATGATTGTAAGTCAAGGACTACAGTACCTGTATTCCCATAATACCAGATATTCAAGTGATGCTATCAAGCAATTTTATGCCATTTTCTGTTTACACTGATTAGCAAGTGCTGTTTGGAGACATATTACATCTAATACTGGTCTTAATATATAGCTAGAAATTGGGGAACTCTAAATTCAAGTCCCACATTTAACCATGAAAGCTGGCTGGGTGACCTTGGGCCAGTCGCTCGCTCTCATCTCAACTCTCCTCACAAGGTTGTTGTGGGAAAAATAGGAGGAGGAAAGTGTGTTGGATGTTTGCTGCCTTGAGTTATTTGGCTTAAGTAGAAATTTTTAAATGTTTTAATTGGTTTGTGATTTTTAATTTTTGGGCCAAATTTATATATATTTTAATTGTTTTTTAATATTTGTATTTCATGTTCTTAATTCTGGCTGTACACCGCCCTGAGTCCTCAGGGAGAAGGGCGATATATAAATTGGAAATAAAATAAATAAATAAATAAATAAAATTTGTAAAAATAGTAAAAGTGGGATACAAATAAATAGCAAATATTTTCCAAGACCAGCACCCATTGATAGTGTTGAGTTTTACATTGATTTAGACCATTTGTAACGTTAATGCCTACTCTTACAGTTTACAGATCAACATTTAAAGTTCTCCTGGTAATCTGCATTAATCTACATTAGCAGATTAATGGCTACTTTGGTGCTCATCCTTAGTGCCAGATAAATTATAAACAAGATCCTGTTCCAGGCTAGATCTTTCAGGAAACCCTTATCCATTTTTCTGTTTTTAAGAATGTGTATATTAGTCAAACATTTAATTCAAAACAATCTTATTAAGGAGTTAGTATTTTAATGTAGATTAACCATAAGGCACTTTTCTGATGATCTGTGTGGTAGAAATATCTTTAAAATGTGGCCCGTGTGTTAAAAGAGGATGTGCCAAGAAAAAATGCTTCCAATATTGCTTTCTCTTATTGCTTCCTATGAAGGAAAAAGAAAAGTCTGGAAGTAAATTGTTAAATCACAATCCAGGGATTACATTTTTTATTTGCTATTAAATTGAGGGATGTGATAGCTATGCTTTTCACATTCCTCTTTTTTTTTTTAAATTCATTTCCTTTCCCTGTCTATCTTGTAGTCTTCATATTGCAGTAGGTTGGGAGAAAAGGGAAGAAGACTGGGTTACCAAATTAATAAAATCTAAATTTCCCTTAATTTAGTGGCAGATTAAAAAATGTAATCATTAATACACCATATTTTCCCGAAAATAAGACTTTTTAATATTTTTTTTGAACCTTGAAATAAGTGCTTAGCCTTATCACCATGCACTCAAAAGCCTGATTGGGCTTATTATAAGGGGATGTCTTATTTTGAGGGAAACAGGGTATAGGCAGTCTGGACAAGCCTAATGATACCATATTTGTAGAAGAATATTGTTCTGAACTAGTGTTTCTTAAACATTTTGCTCTTAGGAACCCTTCCAATTTTTAAAAATTAGAGACCATCCCCAAAAAACATGTGTTTGTATATTTACCATAATACAAATTAAAATGGATGCATTCATAGAATCTTTATTTGTTGAATCATGTAAAAATAACAATACTTATAAATCATTTATAACAAACATATTTTTCATAAAAAACTTGTTTTAAAGAAATATAATGAGAAAAGTATTTTTTGCAAATTTCTTGAATCTCTGGCAAATCATTTTTATTTCAAGGGTCTTGAGGTACTGAAAGGGTCTTGAGGTATTCCCAGGTCTGCAGTTTAAGAAACACAGTTCTAAATTAATTGAAATCCCCTCCCCCCCCAAAAAAATCATTAAATGAAGACATCTTCATGTTCCAAAAGATTGACCTATCAATGCAAAGGGCTTTTTTTTTGCAAGTTAGCTGCCTCTCTGAGTTATTTCCATTTTTCCTACTGCTGAAGATTCATGTGATGAAAATAAATGCTGCCTACACCTCTTAGGATTCTTGGCTCTTGTCATCTACAGCTGGCCAAACAAACAGATTGCAGTTTCCAGATAAGGAGATCTAATTTGCAAACCCAGCATTAATAACTTAAGTTTGGAGGCAGAAGTTTGTTTCTCTTTTCACTCAATTAATTTGGTAAAGAAGAAAGCAACAATCCTTTAATGATAGAATAGAGCCCCTGTATTCCTGTATATGAGAGGGTACTTCTGTGCATGTATGAAATGCTATTTTGCATTTAAGATAATATATATTTATTTTCAAATTCTTTAAGTGACCTCTAGAGAGAGAGAGAGAGACTTATGCAAACCTGTA